GAACAAAGCAAGACAGAATGGATAGTGTACTGTTTTTAATAGCTTGATTATATTTCACTTTGTTTGAATTATGTTTTCTACAGTTCCCTTCATATCTCTCTTGATCCTATTTTACTTCTCTTTTCTGTCTTTTTTTCTCCTTGGTTGTTTGACTTGTTTCTCTTATTGTCTTTCTTTCCCTGGTTCTATTTTATCTACTTCCTTCTTGTTAGATAGTTTCTATCCAGAGATAATGTAATATTTGTGGTTAAGAATTCTAGAGTTCAAAATCCCCTTCATTTAGATTATGGGAGGTTAAAATATGGCAGTGTTTTTCTGAGTGACTGGTAAGTGATTTTTATTTTTAAAAAACCAGTAAATATTTTTAATAGCAAGAATAAAATCACACTCCCCAAGAATCTTACTTCCATTTGTATAATATCTTTTATTTTTGTTAGGTTGAAACTCCATTGGAAGAAGCTATTAAATTTTTAACACCGTTGAAGAACTTGGTGAAGAACAAGATAGAAACTCATCTTTTTGCCTTTGAGATTTACTTTAGGAAAGGTAGGCAATTAGGGTATAGTGGACCTGATAAAACTGATCACTGTATTTCTTAGGTATAGTCACCCAACTCTCATAGCCTCACCACTGTAGGATTATTTAGCAAATGCTAATGCAGCTTTCTCACAGAAATGCCTGCTATGCACAGAATGTTGTGGGGAGGTACAATGATACAATTCTCTCTTTGAGGACATTAGAATCAACGATAGATATATGTACGTAACTAGAATTAAGGTCAAATATGGTAATTACCATTTATGTAGTTCAATCAAAGAACTGATGATTGCGTGGATAAAATTAGTTAGTACAAAGCTTAGAGTAGTGCCTGGTACATAGTAAGCATTAAATAAATGTTGGCTATTATGAGCTATTGTTATAAATAGAAGATACAATCTTTCGGTTACATCTTGAGTGGATTGTATTTCTAAAGGAAAAGATACATAGAAGGGAAGAGTATCTATTAAGATAACACAGGAGTGTGTAAATAATATTGAGGTTGTCTATATTACCTGGAGCCAGGTAAAAGATAAATAAAGGGTCTAGGTTTCCAGGTTTAAGATGCTTAGAATATATATTTAGTAGATCGTA